CCCCAGAGTTGGACAGGACTAGACTTAATGTCAAGGGGAAACCTTTACCTTTACCATAGACATGTGTTATATCTACCTAACATTTCACTTCTTTTTTTTTTTTAAAAAAAAGGATGGACTGACTCCACTCCACTGTGCTGCACGAAGTGGACATGATCAGGCTGTAGAGCTCCTCCTGGAACGAGGTGCCCCGCTTCTTGCCAGGACCAAGGTATGTAGTTCACAGTAGATGAAATCGTTCGATTTGTCCAAAGTTCAGAAGTGTATAGACTCATTTGGACTCAGTGCTTTTGAAAACTAAGAGAAATAAAGCTGCATCCCACTTGAAATTTTCCTTGATTTTCCCTTTGGAAGATGAGACAGTCTGGATGTTTTCTTACAAACTGATATTTCTGTGAAAAATACTCAGGTTAGGTGGGGTTATCTTGAATAACTATTAGACCCACCTTATAATTCTAGGACATATTTTTAGTGGCTATACAATCAATTTGTCTTGGGAGGATTATGATTTTTATGATTGATCCTTCTTTCATAATGCCACCATAATTCAGCTGCTGCTGCTGCTGCTATGTGCCTTCAAGTAGACTCTGACCCTATCCTAATGTTTGCTTGGCAAGATGCATTCAGAGGAGGGTAGTCTTTGCTTTCCTCTGAAGAAAGGGTCTACTATTCTTAAATTTATAATTCCAGCCCTTAAATCTGTGCTTCTAAAGGTTATCCCTATAATGTATGACATTTTCATACAAATTACTCAAAATCCCACACAGTTGAAGGGAAAGGCAAGCACGTTTTTTGGATTCTCTTCAAATGGAAAGCTGCTATTGTACAATTCCCTTCTCCCTTTCATTGAACTTGAGCAGCTTTTATTCCCTCAGAAAAGGCAATCCTATCTGCAGATATCCTCCAATTCTGTCAAGAAAAAGAGAGGTATTTGCAATTCTATTTTGAAAATCAATATATTACAAAAGAACCACCCATTTATGTATCTGCCATTTGGCATACAAATCTATTCTTAAAGGTGCACTACACATGCCAGCTTCATTTAGTTTCAGCAAAAAGAGCAAATTTTACACCCATTTTGCAACCTTTGGTTTTTTGTCCTCTTAGCTGTGGGACTCAAGTCAATTTGGCCTGGCTCCAAATGATTTGAGTAGAAGTGCCAAACTGAGTGCCAAACTGAAACTGCAGAGCCCTATGCATCACTAATTAATTTCATGCTAACACACACCTACACCAAAGTACCAAAAGAACCCTTCAAACATGCATTGAATTCTAAGGAAGGTTCCACAAGCATCACTTTGTTGCCCAGAAAATGGCATCTAGATTTGCTAACTAGAAGCTTATGGAGCCTGAAGATGGGATAGTTATGGAACTAATCCTGTGTTGTTATTCCAATAGAACTCATAATTGATTTCATAATTCAATTTCTGTAGTGAATATGTGTATATTTTATTTATTTATTTATTTATTTACGACATTTATATGGCACCCTTCCCACCCCAAAGGGGACTCAGAGTGGCTTACAAGTTATATGTAAATACAATATATTATATTATTAGCACAGCACAGTATTGGTATTATATATTACTATATTGTACTATACCAATATACTGTAATATTATTAGTAATATTAGTAATATGAAATATATAATTATTATATTGTATTATTAGTATTATTAGTATTATATTATAATATTATCAATATTATATGTGTATACAATATATTATATTACTAGCACAGCACACCAGTAATATATTAATACTATAATATATATTAATATATAAGCCTCATAGTGCGAGTTTAAATAGCAGTAAAAGTGCAACAGCTCTTAGTCTTTGACCTTTCGCTCCAAAATCTTATGAATAAAAATCTCTAGAATCCATAGATTGGTAGTATATAAAAATAAGTGCAAGGTGAAGGCACTCGCCCCCTCCCAAAGTAGCCCAGGCCCATAGACCTGTATAGAAGTAGACTTTCTTGTGACTAAATTTCACACAGAATTATACCTTTTTTCTTGTTCCTTTCTCCAGAATGGACTTTCTCCTCTTCATATGGCTGCTCAAGGTGACCATGTGGAGTGTGTCAAACACCTACTGCAGCACAAAGCTCCTGTGGATGATGTCACACTGGATTACCTGACTGCCCTCCATGTGGCTGCACACTGTGGCCATTATCGTGTCACCAAACTTCTGCTGGACAAGAGAGCAAATCCAAATGCTCGTGCTTTGGTAAACCTTTCCTGTATCTCTAGTGGAACAAAAAGAGGGTTGGGGTTTTCTCATCCACCCATTCATGCGAATTTGTGGAGAGTGAGCAAAGCTTCCTGGCCCAGTCATTTGCACTATGCACCACTTCCCACACAGTTGGCTAAGCACATGGACATTAAGGCAGAACCAGAGTGTGGACTAGCATATGGACCTTAGTGGTAATAGCAAACAGAAATACAGTCCTGGTCCATGTATGTACTCCATGGATAGTGAAGAAGCATTTCCAGAGAACTACAGTTTGTATTCCTCTAAATATACCTTGAGGCCATGGATGTGCTGGATATATGTATAACATTTCCACATGTTTAGGGCTTTCTGCTTCACTTAGTGCAACAAAGTGATATACATTAAAATCTAAATAGGAAGCAATCTTAGTCCAGCACACTACACATTAAAAATTACAATCGAATTCAGTTTTCCTCATCCTAATAGCCTCTTGATGTTTTGGACTAAGCTCCCCAGATTTCTCTCTATCGGCTTTAGTGGCTGGGGCTGATGACAGACAGACCATAAAAAATCCAAAGGGCATGAGATTTGTGAAGGGTGATTGAATATATCTCTAGAAATATTTGCTACTAGACATTATGATACCTGCCATTGTCCAATACTAGTACTTAAGTTCACACAATTTGAGCTGCCATATGTGTAGCTTCTTTTTTTATTGAAAAATCAATAGTAATAAAAGCAAGAAACCATTTCTGTGAGTCAAAGGATCTTTAACCCTCCTTTTTACCATATCCAGATAACAGCAGAGCTCCCCAATGGTACAGACTGCAATTTCTGGCCATTTCCATTTTATAAATAGTAGTATAGTATAAAGAGTATAAATGGTTTTAAATAAATAAATAAATTACCCTTATGTGAGTTCTAACAGCTCCTTGAATTCTGGTTAACAACAACAACAGCAACAACAACAACTTTATTTTAGTACCCCACCTCCATCCCCCCCAAAGGGTGGCTTAGATATGGTACAAAGTGCATAAAACAACACATAAAATAAAATAAACACAACAACAACAGCAACATTTTATTATGGTCCAAAGACACTTATTGCACTGTAAACATACATGGTATGCAGGTAGTGAGATTAAGGGAGCATCCAGTTGATTGAACACATATGATCATAACACCTAGGCGCTATAAACACACAATCCAATCCAAGATAAACCAGTAGTATATAAAACAACAACTTGAACTCAAAACAGCACCCAATAACCTTTAGTGTCAACTGTCATAAAACATGGTCAACTGTAAACAACAAGAAGGGAAAGGGATAGTGCAAATTGTAGCTAAGGAACAAGGGCATGGGATGAAAGTGCTCTGCTGTATCTTAATTGCAGACCATTGGGCTAGACATTTTCAAAGGCTTGTCTAAACATCCAAATCTTCAACTCCCTCCAGAAGGAGGACAGGGTGGGGGCCTGCCTAATCTGTGGCTAAAGTCTTACGCAGTGCATTAGCCACACTTAACAATTGCCAAATAGACTTCACAGTTGCAGCATCATGAAAATATTCCATAATCTATGCAGTGAAAGACTATGTATGCTTGAATGACATTTAAACTTGCTTCTGTTTCAAATTCAGGCTTTTATGGTGTAGGTGTAGTTAGCGCAATTGGTTGATGACTCAGGAAATGCATTTAAAATGCTTTTTGGTGGAATGAATAGTGATTTTATGCTCTATAATAGAAAAAAAAGTCTTATTGTCACTTCCCATTCTCACAGCACTATTTGTAATATTTATTTTAGTTACTTTATTCATATGTTAAAATAAAGGCTAAATACTTCGGGATTGACTAAAATGCTCAATAAGAGCTTTCTTTAGAAAGTGCATTAAAAGGGAGATTTTCTGCTTTTTAATATTATGTGGATATTTTTAAAGGTGTTGTTGACCATCTACTCATGGAAAAAAAATACCAGCCAGCATGGACAAAATGTTCAAAAATTCTTAGTATAAATATTTGGAGAACCATGATGAGAAACCGCTTAACTGAAAATTACTATAGTACTTCCTTCCAGTTGTGCTGCCTGTTAGTTTTTAAATGATTGTTGTTTTACTTTCAGTTCAGAAGTGTAATTTATCATACAATTGAGTTTCTTCACATTTGAATTTAAAAACAATGTTTTTGGTAAAAAAAAAACCCACTGTAATTCCCACTTAATATTTCGTTCATCTTATTTATTTATTTATTCATTTATTTACTATATTTGTATGCTGCTCTTCTCAGCCCTCGGGTTACTCATAGTGGTTCACAGTAGCAAAATTCAATGCTTAAAACTTCATAAAACAGTTAAAAACAATTAAAACAATAGCATTATAACAATCAATTAAACATCATAACATCTCATTATTGTCTCATAGTTAAAATCTTGATAACCTACAGTACCGTTAAGTCCTTTGAAGTACATAGGCCTCCTGCAGCAACTAAGGAAAATGTTTCTGTAATGCTGGTAAATGCATATTTAATACAGTTGACCCTTCTAATCTCCTTCACAGGGATTAGGACTCAGGAAAAACCATTACTAAAAAAACCCCCACTATTTCTTTTTTACCTGAGAGAACATCTATCTAGGAATCTCTAGGTCTGACCTCCACACCTTGTGGTCCTCCAGGTGTTTGAAGCTCCCAGAAATTCCTGACCATTGGCTAGGGCTTCTGGGGATTGGTCCAAAAACACCTGGAGGGCCAGAACTTGTGCAGGCTTGCTCTAGGTCTTCCAGTTCGATTCTTGGTCAAATTTCACTGCCCATGGAGTTGCACTGGAGAACCCAGTGTCCTATAAAGACCATATTAATCACATTCATGAATAATCAAATCTGCATAGATTCAAACCACAACTGTGGGGGACTGACTGTAGTTGGAGGGTCTGTTTGCAATACTATTTGAGGGTCTTTTAAAAAGTATTCTTATATTGTCTTTACTTTATGCCAAATTGATCATGTGCATTGACTGCTGTGTGATAGAATATTTGCGTTTTGGCATCACACTTCATAGTGAGTTTAGGATGCTGAATGTTGAGTCTTGCATGTGGCAGGAAGGCCACATGACCAACACTAAAGTTCCTGGATATTATCATGGAAAACACCTTCCCCATTGCTGTCAAGTCTCCTTCTTTGGATATTTTTAAGCAGCGGCTGGATGGCTATCTGTCGGGGGAGCTTTGATTGTGTGTCCCTGCATGGCAGGGGGTTGGATTGGATGTCCCTTGTGTTCTCTTCCACCCCTATGATTCTATCACAGCTCCAGATATTTGTTTGAGTAGGATGTTACATGTATTGACTGCATTATGTGATATTAGAAAAGAGTGGTTTGCAAGGGAAACTAGCAATTTCAATTTTTTAAACTAACACACAATTTCTGATTTCTCATTTTAACTCCAAACCTTCTGTGATATGACAGTGTTCCATGATAATTGTTTTAAAAATCAAATCAAATTTGACACTAACTAGGGAAGGTCTATGTTTTGCATCAAGCCACAGCAGCAACGTGCAACCAGAAAATGCTTTCTGTAATAGAGTCACCCCTCTGTATCCATGGATCCAATCATCTACAGCTTGAAAATGTTATTTTAAAAAACCAAAGAGCAATATAAATTACTATGCGATTGTATGTCTTGGGACTTGAGCGTTTACAGATTTTGGTATCCATGAGCGTCCTGGAGACAAACCCCAGTGGATAGGGCTCACTGTATGATGTTTAATTTGAATGTGGCTCAGTCCTACATTTTACTGGGATTTTAGATAGAAGGAAAACATACATGTTTGACCTTTGTTTACATAGTTGCGTTGCTTACCCTAGTGCTTCTTAAGGTATGTGTTGATGGATGGAAGGTATGACAGGGTTGTTTTTTTTCCCAACATATCAGGGACTTGTATCACTTTTGTGCTACTGGCAATAATTTCCTGGAAACTGTATGCAGATGGGCAGCTAATAGCTCATGAACTGTCACTGATTCACAGGCCACAATAATGTGGCTCCTATAGCTCAATTATTATCCATTAGCGCAAGTACAGTTGTCATGGAAAAAGAGTAAGGGTGTTTTGTGGATGGGATACATCTTTTCTGTGCATATAGGCTTTTAGATTCTTACATTCTGGTTTGGGACATGCCTTTTCAGTCCATCAAACCTGATATTACCAAACAAAAGCTTATAATCTAACACTGTGTGAGAACTGAAGGTGCATGTTTTAACTAACATGATTGTCTTTTGCACAGAATGGTTTTACTCCACTGCACATTGCTTGCAAGAAAAATCGCATTAAAGTCATGGAACTGCTGGTGAAATACGGGGCTTCTATCCAAGCTATAACAGAGGTAGAGAACTTTCCTAAAGAAGCATCTCTCCCCCACTATTTCTTCCTTCTCTTAGTTCCACACTTTTCTTTTATATACATATCTGAGGAAGACTCGAAAGGCTCTCTGCAGAGGAGTAAAATTTCTGTTGCTTTATTTCACAGTCGGGCCTCACTCCAATACATGTGGCTGCATTTATGGGTCACTTGAACATAGTTCTCCTTCTGCTGCAGAATGGAGCCTCTGCAGATGTCACTAACATTGTGAGTATGTTTTGAATTTGAGTAATCTTAATCTTGCTAAACCATTACATGTTTTAACCAAGGTCATAATTGGAATCATCATTTCATGAACATTTGCTATAAAGATCCACAGTATACAAATGCCTAAGAATGGAATACATGTACAGTATTTTTCTTTTTGTGTACTCTTGTGTTTCTCAGTGGTTCAGCTGTTTTAAGCAAACCATGTTTAACCTTAATATGCAAAATAAAACGTTAAGCAGTTTCAGGTTCTTTTAATCTTTAAAAATATGAGCTCTGTGTCATATTGACAGACTTAATTTAATTTTAATTGACATAGTTGAATGAGAAAGGAATGTTAACTAATGTTATAATATAAGTAGTATGCACTCCACATTTTATACCACCAGTTAACAAGCCAGCCTCATGGGAGCTTTCTTGGCCAGTTTATCATGTTTCCTTTATAGTTCCTGGCAAGCATGATACTTCACCCCAATCCCTCCTTCCACCATTCATGTATTTATTTATTCATCCTGGCAATAGGTAACATCTTTCCTCCTGACTAAGGACCAGAGTTAAAACTGGACTTGTCACTTTATCACCATCTCCACAGGCTTTGCATTTCTATAGCTATTCACACATGAAGGTCTGTTCTTAAGCGCTTCACTCCATGCATCTGAAGATGTAGACTTAGTCTACAAGGCTTATGCTACCAACTTCATTTTCTCAAGTTTGTCTTCAAGGTGCTATAAGACTTTCTGACCTATGTCTTTGAATTCTGACTCCATGGTGTGTGTGATGGCACACCAGGAAGATCTAATGAGAAACCTAAATGTGTCTGGCTATTTTCCCAGTGACCATCGGTATGCCCTAATTACTATAATTCCCCCAAAATAAAACTCTATAAKCAAGATTAAGTTRAACAATTGTTTACTAAATAATCAAGYTYAATTACAACAAWGDACAAAGGTYWYYARTGATTATGATYYTATAACTCTGAGGTAAAAKAKARTACTATWTCTATGAGGTYAARATAACTATAKACTARYGGGGATGTATGACTATATAGACTATAGCAWGTACAACTATGAACTCTGGGTWTSTATYATCTATAAACTAMCTAWKTATWATCTATAADCTTTGGKWTAKYTYTATTATVRATGAYACATGGCAAATACAACTATCTAWCTATAGGGGAATGTATAACTKTAAACTWTCTATAYGGCAAATARYTATTATAATCTTTAWGGCWAATACGTGATTAGGATGGCCTGTTCAAATTGCRAGGCCAGACCAGACACTATCTGGCAACTYTCWARAAGCTAWGACRAACAAAYAATGGYATAAAAAGTCTTTCTGCCAAGCTCTGAGCCAGAATGGGCTGAACCAACTGAGCTCGGCCTCTAGGGGGATCCTAAACTCCTACTCTAAAACTCTAGTAGAATGGAACAGTCTAACTCCAGGGAAATAATACAAGGCTGAGACATCACAGTGTGGCTTAGTCCAATAAGATACTTCACTTCCCCAAAACAAATAAGAAACTTAAAATCTTTCTTTTTTTCTATAGCGTGGTGAGACAGCATTACACATGGCAGCTCGTGCAGGACAGGTGGAAGTGGTGCGCTGCCTCTTAAGGAATGGTGCTCTGGTTGATGCCCGAGCAAGGGTAGGTGTTTTCATGGTCAATCTCTGCACTCTTTTATAAGACTAAAATATGTATTGTTGAAGGCTTTCATACCTGGAATCACTGGAGTGTTGTGTGGTTTCTGGGCTGTATGGCGGTGTTTTAACAGCATTTTTTCCTGCACAAGAAAATGCTTCTGGAACACAGCCATACAGCTCAGAAACCACACAACACTCCAAGAGCAAAATAGTTTGAGGATGTACTAAGAACGGTTTTTCTTTTTCTTGGAATGAATCTTTCTGTACATGTATTTGTAGCACAGGGTGGGACAGATATATATTTATTTTCTGTTAAAACCCATGTGGTATAATATTTTTGAAAATGAGAGTAAATTAGGCTTTCACTTTGAAAAACAACAACAACACTAGCCTCACTTGACTTCTGATTTGAATTGTAGGAGGAACAGACTCCACTGCACATTGCCTCTCGCTTGGGAAAAACAGAAATTGTCCAGTTGTTGTTGCAGCACATGGCACATCCAGATGCTGCAACCACTAATGGTTATACACCATTACACATCTCTGCCCGAGAAGGTCAAGTTGATGTAGCATCAGTGCTCCTGGAGGCAGGTGCAGCACACTCTTTGGCAACCAAGGTAATATTGGAAGTGTTGATACTAATATTCCAATAGTGAAAAACTTAAAACCAGTATTGGGCATATGCCAAATGGATCTACCTTCAGATCCCTACTCTGGCAAGACACTGTTCCATTTTACCAGTTTTCTCTCTGTAAAAGGGAAAATCTTTATCAATTCTAGTATTGACCTGATCATCTCACACTTCTCTGGAGATTGGAACTTAGTGACCTGTAGCCCTTTGCTTCTTATTCCTCAATTCCATTTCTGAAGTTGTGTGTTTTTTACACCTATAACCTCATAGCTCTGGGTGCTGCAGGGGAAGGACCACCTTTGATGGACACTCTAGATAGAAACCAGAGTAATTTGCTAGGTGCATGTGAGCATCACAGCCGGGTATGTGGGAGGACTTCCCTCCCCTAGCTTTCTTCTGTTTCCCTTTTTTCTTGTTTCCATGGGTTAATTTGTCCTACATCTAAATAATAGTGCACCCTACAAAGCTATGTTAAGACTAAAGGAAATGTTCTATCGCAGTTTAGCATGTAGGGAGCTTATAATGGACTATATGTATATAAATAGAGTGAGATCTAGCATAGCTACAAATATTGTTCTTGTGGTTAGTATTAGCTTATAACATTGTAAATTGTGGTTTGGTTCCCCAAATTAGCACATTGATTCAGGGATAGGAATGCTTGATCGCAGAGAGATGATTAATGCCATTAATGTTCCTGGAGGTTTGTGATTCACGTATCTATGGTTTTCCACTGACTAGTATTCAGATGATTAATTGTTTGAAGATGCTTGATTTAGTTCTGACAAACTATTTACATTGATGCCTTCATGGCCCTTTAACAAGGAACATGAATCAAAGAGGAATGCCATTATATATAGACATTACTTCTGGTATTCACTGAAACTGAGGTTGAATGGGTCCCCTCAGTTAAAAATAGACTCAATATTTGGATTTGAAAGTTGTTTTACAAAGAAACTGCTGCTAAAGTATTCATACTGTATTAGCTTGAAAGTTCCCTCATCAGATCAGAAGACTTCTTTTTTAGATTCGGGATGTTTAAAAAGTAGTTGAGAGGTTCTGTGACTAGTTTGATATGGCAAATCTCTCAAATATGGATGCATTCATAGAAAAGCACATGGATCTTTTTGGTACATAGCTTTTTTCAAAAAACGGAATTCTATACTATAAGATGGGAAGAGACAAAATATAGTCCAGGTGCAAATCTCAGTGTTCCTCACCCATGGGACTAATGGGAATCTTCTTTATGAAATATTTCCTTAACATAATTATGGTGGTGGAGCTTCATTTTTGCAATTATATATAATGATGATATCTCTCACTCAAACCCCCTATGTTTTCAGACTGACATTACCTCAACCCAAGAGTTTCTCAGGTTCTGCTATTCAGTCCTCTTGAAAATGTTGTTGGGAACAGATAGCTGGAGAGATCTCACAGAATTATGCTTCAGTTGCATGTCTTAATATGCCCTACAAGCAGAAATATGCTTTGGACATTATTTCCCTGTGCCCTGACTTGCAGAACCTCATAAACCCTTCATCTAGGAAGATACAAGGCTGGAAACATGAGATTTTGTGTCACATTCAGTTGTTAATGACCATAAATGTGAATCTCCACCAGTTATGAGATCATAAGTCCAGCCAATACAGTCTTCATTTGGTGCCCAGTCAGTCAATGTTTTTAGAGTTGTGGAGATATTCTTGGGGATGTTGCTGTTTTGAGTGAGATTACTCAGAGCTGTATGCTAAAAGATCTGTAGAGCCTAAGATTTCCTCTTTCTCTTTTAAAACAAACTATTATATTAATACTCCCATTTCCCATTTGATGTATTATAGAAGGGATTCACACCACTGCATGTGGCAGCTAAGTATGGAAGCCTAGATGTGGCAAAACTCCTGTTGCAGCGTCGTGCATCTCCTGATTCATCTGGAAAGGTAGGAATGAAATGTAGCATATCTGCCTAAAATCACTAGTGAAGACAACATTTGTGATTGTTGCTAATGATGAAACTGGAGTCCAGATTATATTGCAGGGACATATCACAATGTACATGACTATATAAAAATGATATTAAAAGCAGTAAAGACCGTGTTCAGTCTTTTGTTTAGCATTTAGTATGGACAGTTACCTATCCCAGTTATTACTGGCAGTAGTTTCTCATAGCAGCTATGACACACAGTGCTTATACAATTCATCCTCTTATTAAGGAGGAAATGAGAGTGAATGTAGATCACAAATACTCTGCAGTTGAAAGGATTATTTTGTGAAAGCTTTCCTGACTGTTAATGGCTTCTCCCTCGTGATTATGCCTCCATACACACAATGAGAATAAATAATTATGATTGTTTCCACCTTAATACAAGGGACAATCATAGAAGGCACAGGCCCCTGCTGAAATGGAGGGTCCATGTTGTTTGTTCCACTTCCTCTTTGTAACGTCTAGCCCATTTTTCTCCACCCCTGTGCTCTCCAGATGTTTTAGACTATAATTTCCAGACCATTAGCCATTCTGGTTGTGGCTGATGGGAGGTGAAATCCAAATCTCCCAAAAGAAACTGGATTGAACCTTGCTGTAGTTCATCCTGCTCCACTTTTCTGTGGCAACTGCAGCAAATATGTACAGTATAGGAATGATTTCAGAACAGTATGAAACAAATAGTACAAAGCATGAGGACAGGACAGGACAGGACAGGACAGTACAGGACAGTACTGTAATCTCACATTGAGTTAAATGCATTTTCATGTAGTTCTGTTTTGGGTGTTCATTGATAAGTTGGGTACGAAGAACTATAGTGTATTTTGTTCGAATAGTTATTAGACAAAAGCAAGATGGAATTGTTTTCACTTTATGAAAGATTTCAAACTATTTATTTTAGTTTCTGAAATAAATAATACTTAAATAAATTATTTTGGGTTCTAAAATAAATAATACTTGGGCAATTATTTATAGTTGTCATCTGGAAATTTAGTTTTTGGTTTAATGCTATTTTTTGTTCAATGTAACACTTCTAACATGAAGATAATTCATTTTGGGTTAAACTTTATGTTAAGTTTTTACTAGTTATTTGCTTCTTAATTTATTTGTTTTTAATGTTAATAATAGCTTTAAACAGCGCTAACCATCACCTAATGCCTTAACATAAACCCACCCCCCTTCCAGAATGGGCTCACCCCCCTCCATGTTGCTGCTCATTATGACAACCAGAAGGTGGCACTACTATTGCTGGAGAAAGGTTCTTCTCCCCACGCTACTGCCAAGGTGAGATTTCCTGTTCTATTCAAAAGGGCTTCCCTTGGAGTTCCAACACTATGGATTAGTAGATTTCTATATTTGTTGTTGGGTTGCCAGGTCCTGTCATTATAGGCCTTCATGCGTATACATTCACATATTTAAATTTGCATTACATTTTGGGGAGTTCTTTGGGATCAGACTGCATACATTTGATTTTAACTTTTAACAGAGTTTTACTGTTCATTTTGATTTTGTTGTTTTTATTTATGTTTTTATTTCATTCTTTTTATGATTTTTAATTTTGGTGTACACTGCTTCGAAAGAATTTATGGGTGGAACATTTTATAAGTAGCTTACATTTCTACTAGGTTGCTAAACAAAAGGAGAACATTCAAGTTGATGTGTCCAAAACTCTGACAGTCTCTTTCTGGCTCATCATAAGAATTAGCTGAAGTGATTTTCAGCTACTCCATAGGGCTTAATTCTATTCTCTATTGAGAAAACTCCCATTATAAGTTCTGAGCTATATCTGTGTACATTTCTCCTTATGGTTGGACCATGTTCATGGGATGAGAGGGCAAAGAATCCAGCAAATCTTTCTCTGTCCATCATCATATCCCAACATTCCCCCTCTGGAATCACAATTCCAACATGAGATCAATGAAGAAAACCATGATCAAATCCATTATGGAATCTTTTCCTTCAAGTTTACACTTTGATTAAACATTGGGGTTGTGCATAGGATTACTGTAATCTATAGTAGTGCGAAAATACCAATTTAACAACACTAGGTCTGTTACCGGCTTTTAAACTTAACAATTAGGAACCAAATAAGCACTTTACATTTCTGCTTTGTGCTTTATATACTATACTATTTGGAGAAGTTCTGAAAATCTTCCTAGACAATAAATAGCAATATATAACCCATCATTAAACAGTAGCCATTAAGGCATAATGAAAATTTACTAAGTGAGTACCAAGTAAAACAACTCCTACAGTTCAAATTGTTACTATTATGAAAGCAACAGTTAGCCAAGAGTAAAGTTAGAACATCCTTTACTTTAATGAAAAGTAAATAGTTAACTTGCCTGTTCTTGAAATTCCTAGGAGTGCAATAGCTCTGAAGCGTCTTAAATTTTCCTTGCTGGATTATAATCTTTCCTTCACCATGGTTATACTTACTTTGGCTTGATGGTTGCACTCTGCCCTTACCAATCTTCGAGGAGTAGACCTACTTCTTGTTTTGGCCTCTGGGACATACTTCTGCAATCATTAGCAAATAAAATAAGTAATTATTTAGATTTAATTTTCCATTAAAATCTAACAAGGTGGGAAATCTCCAGTCATAAACAGACTTTAACAAATCTACATACCAACTTCTGTCACAAAAATGTGCTGAAAATTGATTCCTGATAATGATGAGACACAACAGTCAATGGCTGATTTCTTCCATGTTGAATTACTTCTGTTAGGGGAAATAATTTCATTTGGTAAAGATGAGAAAAATAATGGCCATTCTTTGGAGGATAATGCTTTGATATTTATAAGGTATGGAAATGCCTGACATTGTCAATAAATACATATGTATTAATAAAAGACAACCATTTTTTAGAATGGATATACACCCCTACATATTGCTGCTAAGAAGAACCAGATGCAGATAGCCACAACCCTGCTGAATTATGGAGCAGAGACCAATATTTTGACTAAACAAGGAGTGACTCCTCTTCACCTGGCCTCTCAGGAGGGTCATGCTGACATGGTGAACTTGCTTCTGGAAAAAGGTGCAAATATTCATGTGGCCACAAAGGTAATATTCTGTTATCCCTGTCTACTAATAATTGATTACATTCAACCATATTAAAGACTCTGTTGCTATTAAAGTTGAGACATTAGTTAAAGAATTATGGAATTTGTTCCATTAGAGTAGCCCTGTTCTTGAAAGGCACAACTTATTTCTGGAATAGACATTCTGATAGGGTTGATGGATGATTTGTGGCCCATTATTTCTACTCTCCTGCCCAACAACTTCAGAAGGACTTTGGGCATGACATACATTGTTTTTAATATGTTTGTGCAATCCATCTATTTCTCTGCATTTCTTATCAATATCTATAGCACTTTCCTGTATCTAAAATTTGATACAGTAAAGGGAGCCAACATTGGAATCTCTGGTTTGAAAATTATTAGGGATTGCAATTACATGCCCAATTTCCTGGGATCAGGACCTATTAAAATGGGCATGACTTATTTCTGGTTAGTTATGTATAGGATTGCAATGTGAGGCTTTTATAAATGATACAATGGCCAGTCCCCTCTGGTCATTCCGCTCTCAGGTGAGTTCATTCATCTAGTTTTTATGAGATATCCCATATATTCACCTTGATGTCAAGGTTGTGGCTTACTGCCAGCACCACTGACTGAGAAGGACTTTTCTCACACACAGTGATATTAATATCTGTGCCTTTTCTCTCAAGTAGTGACACTATTATCCATGCCTTTGTAGCTTTCTGGCTGGCTGATTCTACTAACTCTGCAAATGTTTCAGACAGTTCAGATGTTGCAAATGCTGTGACCTACTTTGATGTATAATCCATCTCATATCTAATACATGATTAGAATATTTATAATTTCATCTGTAATACACAGATGTATTATATGTATTATATTTAATTTGCAGAGTGGACTGACATCTTTACACTTAGCAGCTCAAGAAGATAAAGTGAATGTAGCAGATATGTTGATAAAGCATGGGGCAAACAAAGATGCTCAGACTAAGGTATTATAATATCCAAAACAATAAAAGAAATTTCCACTGCAATACTTCTTTCACTCTTGTACTTACATGTCTTGTTTTTGTCTCTTTCCTTGTAGCTAGGTTACACTCCATTAATTGTGGCCTGTCACTATGGGAACATTAAGATGGTCAACTTTCTCCTAAAGCAAGGAGCTAATGTTAATGCTAAGACAAAGGTAAATAATTGTTGATAATTTCTTTTTTTCCATTATCCTGTTTCTTTGCAAACATATGTTGTTGTTTTTATACAAATATTGTTTGTATCTGTAAACAAGAAGAAGGTATCCTAAAGAAAAAATACTTCTCACAATAATTAATTGCTTGAACTTTAAAACAGTGATTATAAAGAAAAGTTCGGGCAGATTAGCGATGCACATATGAACATGGAAAATTACACATATGAAAACATATGTGCATTTCAAGACATGCATTCCATGAAATGTTTTTATTTCTTGGAAAATGAAAGCAGAGGAAAATGTATGCTGTAGTATGAAATTTCTGAAATATCGTATGTTGAGGATCTAATAATGATGAAAGATAGGTGTTGAGCATTTTGATTTCAGAAGCTTCACCCACCATGGATAGTGATATGATATTGTGTATTGTGAAACTGAAAGAAAAAAAACCTTTGTTTTAGATGTAGATATATTTTAGAATTCCATATTCCAATAGCAACTTGGCCATTATAGTACATAGAATCTAAATGTAACAATTTAACTATTATGTAAAGTGGATTACTTCTGGTGATAAAAAGAGCATAAATCTTTGAGAAAGAATGTAATTAGAAATTAACATCATCATTATTTTTTCTGTAGTAAGCAATACTTGCTATTGATATATTATAATTTGAGGAAGAAGCATTCAATGTCAATTTAATTTATAAAAATAAAATTAATTAAAAAATGACAAATGCTACCTATAAAATAATGAGTGGGCTCTTTCTTTCTCTCTCTCTCCCTCTATTTCTAGTAATACTAATGATTGTATTAAAGCTAGGAGAAAAAAAATAAAAATATATGTTTAAAATGTTTTTGTTTCTTTTCTAAATGTGGTAACTACCACTAATTACAGAATGGATACACACCTCTGCATCAAGCTGCTCAGCAAGGTCACACACACATTATCAATGTTCTTCTCCAGCATGGAGCCAAACCAAATGCAACCACTGCGGTAAGTTTAGAAAGTATCAAGAGTGCTATTAAGTTCACCTAACAATAACATTCTCTTTTAGCTACAATACATCTTGACTCCGTTTTTCTTAGAAAACTACAGTTAGTCCCAAAGTTATAATTTTAAGTTTAACTCCAGCCATATATGTATAATTGGATTTTGAA